TTAGGAGATTTGCATTCTGTTTTTATTAACATGTTACACAGTCTCCTACCTTTCTGCGAGCTAGCATTGTAATATTGTAGAGTACTTACATTATTGTGTGTGTGTGTGTGTGTGTGTGTGTGTGTGTGTGTGTGTGTGTGTGTACTGGTTGTTGGATTTTGTTACCATGCAATGCTATCAGTCTTTTAATCTAACTCAGCTCATTATTGTTCCTTTTATTCATTCGTTTTTCACATTTTAGAGAAAGCTTAATATAAAACCTTTTCACTGTAGACATTTAAGTCGATATGTGGTACAGTTTGCATATCGTGACCTTTGAGCTTACCGGATTCAGACCTTTTCAATTAAATAAATTGAATAGTTTTATCCTGGACAGATGACCTTCTCCTGAAGTCAGCTTGAAACATCTCAGTCTGCAAAAAGCTGGTGGGTTGTTTTTTTACACTTTAGAAACATTATCATACATTTCTAAGGAAATTATTTATTCCCTCAAACAGAAGGCGAGGTGAGTCACTCGCATTTAAATTCACTTTTAATGAAGCTGAATTGGCAGGTCTGTGGAGAGGTTAGTTTACAATTACATTTTTTCCTCTGATACACCACCTAACATCTGCATAAATGGCTTCTAATTAGTGTCTGGAGCCTGACCAGCCAGACTAACATGAATCAAATCTGATTGGTCACAGTACTGTAACTGCATCCTGTTGAGCAATTGTGTCACTTTTTATTTTCCACGTGAATGTGATTCACATGGAAATTGTCCTTGCTGCCTTCATTTGTTAAGCTAATGGCGGGTGTGTTTTAGTGCAGGTCTGTGAAGTAAACGGGGCCATTACCATTATTGTTCTTTGTTTTGGGGTTTTTTTAACAACTTGGATTTCTACAAAAAGAACAACAGGATGTTTTCTAGGTCCTTTGCAGAGGCTTAAACTCAGCATCTTTAAATTCAGCAACTGCCAGACAAAAAGAAATGGAAATTAAATGCTAAATTAATTAATAGAGCCACTTAGTTGGGGTGTGAAAACAATGATTTTTTTTGTCCTGGGAATGAAAAGCCTCTGTGTTGATTCCAAAGCACAAATGTATTTAGAAGCACAGTGTTTTGATTTCAGGGGTTTTGACCTTTTTAAACTTGTTTATTTTCCCAATAAATATAGCACCAGGCTGACACCCAGTATACAGGCTTAACAATAACAAGGATAGTAAAAGAGGACCTCGGCTGAGCTCAGCCTGTTAGCACAGTTTTATAATGTTCTCTGGAAGTCTAGAGGAAAGTGTCCAGTTTTTAAAAATAACCTGCTGATTTCATCTGTTACTAGTGAGCAGTCCAGAGAATATAAGTCAGGATAGCTCAACCTCTGCTGAATAGATTTGACGGTTTTGTTTTGTTTTCTCTACAATATCTCATGGATCCACAGACAGCTTAAAAGATTGATGCAAGCACCTTCATGCCACCCACTGCTTAGTGAGACCGTGAAGCCTCAAGCTGAGCATCTTGATGTTTTGAAAGTGGATGAGACTGGGGAGAAGTGAACTTTGTGAAGTTCATCTTTTACTATTTAAGTGACCTCAAACTAAAGACTGATGCTGTAAACTTACCTGTGAAGTGTTTACTGAGGTCACAGAGTGAGGCAGCTGAGAGCCCTTTCCCTATAAATTTCTATAAAACTGGACATTTTTCAACTGATGCTGCCCCCCTGCTAAAAAAAAATGCAGGTTTCAAACCTGGAAACTACATCCATCTTTTATACTGTCTATGCATGAACCTCCTGAATCGTAGTAATCACAGTAAAGCACATATGATTAACTTTTTGTCTTCTTTCTTATGCAGTTTTTTTTTCTGTTTGGTAATTGCGGGTGCTCCTCTTCTATCGCTTCTTTTTCATCTCATCTCCAAACCAGTTTTCTTCCTAACCCGATTCTACTGGGGAGCTCTTCCTGTTGTAAGGGAGTTCTTCCTCCCCACTATCAGCAAATGCTTGCTTGTGGGAGAGGAATCGTTTCAATACTCTCTCAAATACTGTATTGTAGCTACTTTGTCTTTGAGATGTTGTGAACTGGCAACATAATCCTGGCTCCCAGGAGAGGATATATCTAGAACCTGTTTATGTTCCCACACCCTCTTTTTTGTGGTAAATTTAGTTCCCCACGTATCACACAGACACACGTACTCACACACATTGCGCACACAAAGCACGGCATCTCCTCTGATGTTATGCTGACGCTGGTAGGCTGATAACCATGGAAGAGCCAGAAGGGGAAAAAGAAGGAGGAGGTCCAATTATTTTTGAAGCATTTTCTCCAAAAGTCTGACAGCCAATTAAGTTGTGAGACTCTGTTTTTCTCTGACTTTTAGGTGTGGTTGCTATTTTGATAAATAATCTCATGATAATGTTACCCGTCCTCCTTGTTTTTAGTTAAAAGTTAAAATTCATAACACGATGAGAACATTAAAAGAAAAAACTCTTAACGTGAACTGAAATCATGCTGAAATGTCCTTTAAGGTAGTAGGTTTATAAATCAACACATCATTGTTGTGAACAGGTAGAACATCCACATTTATTGAGGTTGCTTCCTCAAATAAAATATGCGACAGCAGCCTGATATCAGAGAGAATAGCAGCTTGTTATACTTTCACATGTAAAACAAAGCCCACAGTGCTCAAATAAAGCCTAAACCCATGACTGGCCCTGTATGATTATCATTTAATCGAATCGAGTATTACCTTGTTATTCACCCCTCTCAGAGGGATAAACAACTCTAAGCAATTAACAAGAAACAAACATTGTGACCTAAAGATTAGATGATGCTTTAAAGCTGAGTGAAGAGACCGGTGTCCGCCCAAAACTGTGCAGGTTAGCAGGTAAATTTACACTCATTCAAGGTTGCTAAACCCACAAAATCCTCATAAACCACAAAATCCACACAGTTGATCTTTAATCATCTTTCAGATGATTAAACCAAAATACCAACTTTTCATCTTCCCACTTTCATTCCAGTCAAGATTTGATACAAACAACAGGAACACTGAGGCCGTGTCCTCAGAAGACTTTCAGAGAATTCTTGAGCGGTTTCGCAACCTTGAGGAAATCAGTTCCCTGACTACACTATCACGGCACGCACTGGGCATCCACTTCACTATTTTCTTGCTGGGAGACAAATAAGAGGTTAAATTTGTGGCACGCATAACTGGCAGTAACTGCTTCACAAAAAGGGTGAAAGTAAAAACACCCCTTCTTTCACAAAGCTGCAGCCAGATTGTAAAAATGTAAAAATATAACCAGTTAATTGTTTATTTATACTTCCTAAGATTATAATTGTACATATCAGTTAAATGCAAGGCCACACAAAATTCAAAAATTGCAACTGAAGAAACAGTAATACATCAAAAATATGCAGCTTATTTATACAGTGATAGTAAAATCCCAACAATAACACACACTACTGTTCGTTTATATTAAGATAGAAATATTCTGTGAATCATTTTTTCCTTTAAACCGTTCATTTTTCTAATAAATCTGAACTTTAAATCTCCACCCATTTGGATTTATGAATGTGCACTTTTAACTGTAATAATACAAAGATGGCATATAATGTAGTATATTATAGTTGTTGTGAGTGTTTGCCAGCTCTTGAAATGTGTGCATAATGTCATTTGGCATTGCACTTTCTCAGAAAAAGACTTTGTTAAGATGGAAGCATATATCATTAAGCATTAATACCCATAGCGTGTTAACTAATACTCCATTATAATTCTCACAGATTCTGACTTTTTTGATTATGTGCTCATATAAAGCTGGACAGTCCCTTTGCTTCACATCCAGATGTGTCATAAAAGGATTTCAGCTTTTGTTTCTGAGACCAAAGGACAGTTTTCCACATCATGACGTGGACGTCCGAGTTAAATGAGCAGGTGTTGGTGTCTCTGGCTTGTTGTTTTTTAATATATAAAAGTTTGCATCTTCATGGTAGAGTTTTAAAATTGTGGTTGAAGCGAGGAATTATTCACTGGAGGATTTTTTAGAGTGTTGAGTCAGTGCCGACATTTCCACTATATAATCGTGTCTATTTTTAATGCGGCAGTGCCCGAGGCGCTGGAGAGGACGCAAAGCTTTAAATTCTTTGCAGTTTTTACATCAAAAAAAATGAATTTTGAAACCACTGAGGTATTTGCCCATACTAGCTTTCTCTTTTTATCATAATTTTACCAGCCTGTTGACAAATTCA